CTAGTCTTGTGGGGAATTCCTGCCAAAACCTCCTCCTGCCCCCTCCTACTGCACCGTGGGTCTATTGTAGTGCAGCCGTAGGGTTACACTGGACCCCACGTTCCCTGAGGGCATCAGGTACCTTGTTTTCTCTAGTTTAATTTACACAGCAAACACCAGCACGGTGGTGGGCACACAGGGACTTGCCACATCTTCTGTAAACAGAGGATAGGTTAAAACAGGAGCAGTGCTGGTCTGGATGGACACTGGTCTCCCAGCCAGACTGAGGGCCGTGGAGTAACCAGCCTCCGGATCCCCCACCAGCTGAGACAGAGAAACCTGCTCGGGAGGCCTTATCATCTCCCAGCGCCCTGCACCGCCGGGTCCACCCACCCACCCACCTTCCAGCCCTGCCTTCTTGCTGACTTACCTACAGTGATGCCAGACCCAAACTGACCCTCAGGGCATGGGTTTTCTAGGGACTGTGTAAGTGGGGCTGCTGCACTCACAGCTCTGAGGGCTGCACTACATCACTGTCTGCAGGGCCAGTGCCCCTGTTGTTGTGCAAACCACAGCCTCTGCTGTCATATGAGGTACCCGTTGCCCTCCAGTCCTTCGTGGCCACGCCTAGCCCTTGGGGTCCTTGGGCTCACCTCTAGAGGTAGAGGCCATGTTCATCAACCATTGTGCAGGGCATCTCGTGGGCTAAATAACAGCAGAGCCTTTTGAGGAGCTCTCATGGTGAATCAGGCCCCTGTGGAGGGGAACTACAGTGTGAATTATCCCAAAACCTTGCATTACATAATATCCCCCAATGGCATGGCGGTTACGGTTGCTCTGGAGGGGGCAGTACTCTTACCAGTCTAACTGTAACGAGTTTGAGCCAGCATTCAAATGTCTTTATCTTTCCTGGAGTGAGGTGGTCCCACTCCCTTAGAAGCAAAGGAGACAGAGGCAGGAAGGAAGTGCTAGCTGCAGGTCTGCACAGCACAGACTAGAGAACTGCATGTAGGGTCCTCACTGTGGGGCTTTCTAACGCAGGAGTTCAAGGCAGCACTTTCTGTGCAAATGCTGTCTCGGGGAGTGCAGTCCTGGGGAAGTAAGAGCGCAGGGAAAGGGAAGTGGGGCAGCAATGGAGGAGAACAAACACAGACTTGGATATTTCTGGCCTGGCCACAGCTTTGCAACCAAATGCCCCTGGTTGCTCAGACACCCGTGCTATCTCCAAAGACACCACATGGAGCCACCACATTTCAGACCAGTGCACTGGGGAGAGGAAGGGCAAGAGGTTTTCTCTCCTGTCCTCTTCCCGTCTCCTGCCTCTTATTGGTCAAAGCCTGCCTCCTGAGATTTTGCCTCCCCACCCGTCAGAGAGTGTCACCGGACCTCTCCCCGGCCACCAGGGAGCTGGTGTGGCCCAGACAGTGCAATGGTACAGGGGTCCCTCCCCTCTGGTGACAGTGGTGGCAGTGGCTTTGTGACCATGGGACCAAGTGGCAAGGCAAATGGCCTGAGGGGCAGGTGAGGTGAGCAGCCCGGGGTGGAACGTAAACTACGTCCAGCTTCTTGAAATCAGTGCACGCCACCTGCAGAAATGGTCCTGATTTCAGCAGAGGATTTGGTGAGGAAAGGCCGAGTGGACTGATGCAGTCAGCAGGCATAACCTTTGACCCCCTCATGGGCAGACACGTTGGCTTTTTGTGTGGTAGGAGGTTGAATAAGGGATCCTGATGCCTTGTCCCTGTTTTTGTTGAGGAACTGAATTTAAATTACAGCAGGAAGGCTTTAATTTCAGTGAAACCCTGGTTAGTAGGAACTCAGCTGTCTGACACCCCTGTTAATTAAGAATTGATTGCTGCTTAACAAATACTTCAGATTTAGTGGCTTAAAGGAACACACATTTCTTATCTCACAGTCTCGGTAGGCCAGGCATCTGCATGCAGCTTACTGGGTCCTTGGCTCAGGGTCTCATGTCACAGCCATCAAGGGGCGGACACGGCTGCCGTCTCACTGGAGACCCAACTGGGAAGGGACCACTTGCATGCTGACCTGGGCTGCTGGCAGAAGCCACTTCCTTGCAGTCATGGACTGAGAGCTCTCAGCAACTAGGGGTCACGCGCAGTCCTTGCTACGTGGGTCTCCCCAGCAAAGCCACTTGCCTCCTTCAAGCCGTCACAGAAGGAAAAAAGAGCTCAGTGAGGTGGTTGCTCCGCCTCATGGAACACAATCCCAGAGATGTTGCCGCGGGTGCCTGTCAGCTTTGCTGTGTTCTCTTGGTTAGAACTGAGTCCCAGGTCCCCCCAGACTCATACCAGGGTGTGAGCACAGGAGGCTGGGGTCATGGGACCACCTACCTTAAGAGTCTGCCCAGCATATCTCATTTCTCTAGAAATTTGTTTATAAGTAAAAGCAGCAAGTAAATAAAAACAAACCCACCACATGTTTATATCAGGAATCAGGTTTAAGAAAAAGGTTCCATGGGATGTGCTGAGTCAACCTGCATCGCCATCTGCAGCCCCCATCCGTCCCAGTGGGAAGATGGCCCAGGGTCAAGTCCACTCTGCCTGCCCCCGCATCCCCTCCCCTGCTGCCCCACCCCCGAGTGCTCTTTGTTAAGCAGAGAAATGGGCTCAGTCAACAGAAAGGGAGTCCTAGCCTTTCCAACATTAAAAGAACAATTTTCTGTTTCAGTATCAACAAGCCAGAACATTCAATTACCTAGGAAATCCCATTCCTACACCCTCAGGGAACCTGAGCCCTCTCAAAAAAAACAAAGACGGAGGTGCTGCATTCTGTGTGATGGTCCTGCGTGGACTTGCCCGGAATAAGCAGCCACTGAGCAAAGGGCACCGCACTGGGGGTTTGGATTGGGGCAGTCTGGGCCCCCACCTGCAGCCATCTGTTCCTTGGGGCCTTTTTCCGTTTCCCTTGTTTGGCGCCTGCCTGCCAGGCCTCACGTAGGCCCAGCCACTGTGTCAGGATGTAATTGACTGAGTGCCTCAGACCAGTCCCGGCTCTACGGAGCCCATTGGGGCGAGAACAATGAGGTGGCACCAGCCGGGAGGAAGGCCATTTCCGAGGCTCATGGTTGATGGACCACCTGAGCTGTGATTAGCATTTTAATTGCAAGGCTGCCAGGACCTTACATTCGGAGTGCAGGTTCCAAAGACCTAAAGCACTCTGCAGGCTTAAAAAGGGACCGTGGCACCGTCTGTGCTTCCCACTGGAGGAGCCTATTCTGACACCTTTCTTTCTGGGCCTCCACGTTGCAGTCAGACTCCCCGAAAGGAGATTTGAGGTCTTCCATTTCAAGGTCTGACTCAAATCCTACCTCCTCTGGGGCCTTTTCCCAAACCCACACCAATTCCCATTCTTCCAAGTGCTCAGTCCCCCTTGTTCCCATCCCCCACCTGGAATTCCCTAGAACTCACTGCTCCTCCTTCTGATTTGGAAAACAGAAACAAAAACAAAAACACAGAATGCTAACATCTCATCCTGTGGTGTTTTGAGATGTTAGGAAACCTTCGTACTGTGTCCTGCACCCCCAGTGGCTCGCCCCACTCTCAGTGGGCAGGAGGCGCGGGCTGCCCGCACAGCAGCGGCCGGCAGCCTTTTCACCTTCCGGCACACACAGAATGGTTACTGAAATTCTTCAGCTCGCCAAAAAATATATTTTTGCTGATCTGACCTAAAAAAAAAAAACAGATATGATTTTGACTCATTCACACTGGATGGTTGTTGTTGTGTGGCTATTGTCATTTTTTAAAATTTGACAACCTAGGGGAAAAGAGGTCAGTGCCCCGACTGAAGAGTCAGGTGCCGCATGCTGTAAAAAGCCTGTGGCACACTGCTCACTCGCAAGTCGCTGCTGTGTAGTGAGCCTTGCAGTTGCCAGAGCTCCTTGCACATCGGCCAGTGTTTCACACACATTGTTTTTGCACTTGGCACATTTGTTACTCAAGGTATTTCCTCAGGTAAGTTCAGTTTTGTAAGCTTTCCATAGTAGAATGCTCACAGCTTTTTTTTTTAGGATAAAGAGTATAATTCATATAAAGCCCTTGTATGTGGCACAGAATAAATGCTTAGTACGTGTGCACACTGTCACCTCTCCGAGCCACCGCCGCCAACCTGAGGTTCGCGCTTTGTCGCACAACGGCAGAGCCGGGCCCTGGCATCCCCGCCCAGTGTTCCGTTGTTTTCAGACAGGATACCGAGGGGTGATGTGCACACTGTAAAATCCGCCCTTATAAGCAGACAGTTCTCTGCATTCTGAAAAACACACTCCTACAGTTGCTACACAATTGCTACATAGCTTTTTTGGCTGTGAGTTCCAGCACGTTATGATCAGCAGTTCTTTATCTCGTCTGCGGGCTCACTTACTCTTTGTCTGTGATGCCCCTGAGCTGCTTCCAGGAAATGCCCCGTCACCTCGCCTTGGCCAGCCTAGGAGCTGCTGTCCCAGTGACGCTGATGTTCAGCAGCAGCTCTATGGAAGGAGCTCGTCCGGAGTCAGGACAAAGTGGTCCTGCAGGTACCAGGGCCTGGCATGTTTCTAAGAGGCCTCACTTGTTTGCAAGAATGTGAGAATGTGCTTGAGTCAGACCAAAGCCTGTTTGGGTAACTCTGAGATTTGACAGTGGGCTAAGCAGGCCGACCGGGCAAAGTTTCTCTCTGTAGACAGGCACTGAGTCCCGTCCCACAGCTCATCTGTGGTGGGAGAAGTGGAGTAGGTGGGATTATAGGCTGCAGGGCACGGGGGCCTCTCTGAGGGCAGAGATCGTGGTTTTCCCTCTGTGACCCTGGTACTTAGCATAGCTCGTCTTGGTGTCTGTGCTGAGTGGTCCTAGGATGGCGATGGGGCAAGACCGTGCCATCTCAGGTTGGACCTACCCATCACTCAGAGGAATCTGAAGACAGCAGGGAGAAGCCTCACCAAGAGGAGCCCCGTCACTAAGCTCTGGTGGGGCCCCTCGTCTCCATCCTGAGTAACCTCAGTGGCCTCCTCACTTCTGTGCTTACAGAATTACTTTGAGAGCTACCTTTCCATCGCTTCCACCGTGCCCTCCGTGCTGTGCCTCGCGGCGAACTTCCTGCTTGTGAACAGGTAGGCCACGTTCCTCCCTCCCTCAAGCTCCGCCTTCTTTTCCAGCCTCTCCCACTTCCCTCTTGTCCATGGCTGCTGCTTCTCTGCCTGCTCAAAGGGTGGCCACTGAAGTCGGAGGCAGGTGGCTCAGATTCCTCTGTGGAGACTGAGAAGTCACATCAGCGACCTGGGCCCCTGCCGATGGAATGCCCCATCAGAAAGCTGGACTTTCACTTTCCTGCCACAGGCTGTGACCTAGCATCAGCAGCCAGCAGGAGGCACGTGGGGAAATGGGTCTTCATCCCTCTTCCTCTGGAGAGAGCCTGTCTGTCAACTGCAGCCTGGGCTGTGGGCCCTGCAGCCCAGGGACACTGCCTGGAGGGTGAGGCGGGGCTGGGAAGCAAGTCTTGTGGAAGCTGCTCTTCCAATCATTCCTGAGAGCAGTTTGAACTGCGTAGCTGGCATCCCTTAAGTCCCGCTCTGGCTGTGTGGGAAGAGGCCACCTACCTTGCTCAGTGCTCAGCCAATAACACCAGCCTATGTGTGGGCTGCTCACAAAGGGATCCTCGGGGAACTCCTAACACCCTGTTAGTGAAGGGCTGGGAGGGAGCCTCCATCTAAGTGCACATGGGAGGAGGAATGATTTAGGAGATAGCTGGGCAAATTAGCATGGTCCTCAGATCCCACCCGGTGGCTGTTGCCATCCATTCTCAGCTTAGGTTTGCAAGGGCAACAGCCTTAGGTACTTTGCCTGCATTTCCCCTAAGCTACTGCTAGGTAAAAACAGTGGCTGTGTTGTAATTTAGAAGCCTGAACTTGGGCACAGCCTCCTGAAACCTTAGATCTCTAATGACAGGTCTGTTTTATCTCACTTTGCTCAGTTTATGCTGATTGTCTGGATTTCTGGTTGAACAGGAATCTAAGGCAAGTCTGGCCTTGGGGAGTGTGCTGTGATGGATTAGTGATGTCTGCTCTGAGTGTGGGAGAGGAGAGGGCAGCACACGTGCTTCATGTGTGCTAAGCCTGCATAGACCTGTCTTTCCAAACATAGTATGCTGTGGGGCTAGTCCAGTTGTCTGTTGTTGTATAAAAATCGTCCCAAAGCATAGCGGCTCAAACAATAACAGTAATTAGTATCTCTCATGGCTGTGGGCATCAGCAGGCTTGGTTGACAGTCCTGACGTGGTGTCTCTGCTGTGGTTGCAGACTGCTGGGACTGGAGCTGCTGGGCCTCCTCAGGGACCCCTCCCCTCCCCTCTCCCTGTAGTCTCCTGCATGTAGTAGGACTTTTCATACTGTGGCTGAAGAACAAGTGCTCCCTCACATCTGTGCTTGGAACCTGGGGTCCCTGCCTTCTAGTTGCCCAGGTTTTCTTGCTTCAAGCTCCTGGAAGGAAGGAAGTAGTTAGAAAGGCCTGGATCTGTCTGCGCTGGGGACCCTGGGCCACCCAGGCAGCTGCCACCCTCTTCCTGCAACTTGGGCAGAGGGCTGGCTCTGAGGGCTCAGCCTTTCAGGCACCCTCCAGAAGTGTCCAGCCTGCCCTGGGCCTGCCCTTGCCCTCCCCTGGCTATAGGAGAGGAGTGAGGCAACATGGGAAGTTCCTGAGCCTCTGGGAAGATGGTTTGAGGCTAAACTGTTTTTGATTTAGTGTGTGAGATTGAAATGTCTCCTTTTCTTGCCTCCTGGAGAACCCTGGCTGGCTCTGACCAGCTCATCCATAATCGCCAAGCGTTTTATTATGTTCAATGTGCAGCATCATAAATACTTATGAGGAGGATTTACATTTAGGAGACTTGTGAAGAAATCAGTTCCCTGGGGTCCTGAGCCCTCACAAGCAAGGGGTGGCAGGGAGCTGGCGGCTTGGGTACAGCTGGCCATTCTCTCCAAGGATGTCATGTCACCGAGACCTGCCCCAGGGTCCAGGGGCCGGAGCAGTCATCTCACCTGTTGGCCTTCCTAAGGCCTTCCTGCTGTCCCAGAGGAGAGCCCTCTGCCCTGCCCCCCCACAGGATACTTGTCAAGACTTTCCCTAAAATCCCAGCAGTGTCACCCCCTGGGCCACTTCCCCCGCCCAGGGTGGGAGAAACAGAGTAAAGCAGCGAGCTCCCATTACTGCATGTGGGGCAGGCTTGAGCAAGCAAGCACACGTCTTCCAGCTTTAAGAACATTGAAAATAGCTCCAGGCCAGACCCCCGAGGGCCTGGGGCTTATGGACGAGGCTTGGAGGAGAATGGGTTAGGTAGCTGGTAATTAGCAGGCCAGGAGGAGACCGGTACAGGTGAGGGGACTTAGGGAAGAAGCAGAGGCAAAGGTGGTTTGCATTGATTTTTAAACATGGCATTGACCTTCTCATCCCTTACTCTTCCCTCCACTCCCCACCCTTGGGTGCTGGATGAGAAGTTCCGCAACTCTCTCCACAGCAACTGTCCTGTTTAAGTGGTGACAGGCACAGGAAAGCTCTTGTGAGGCCAGCAGAATTCCTGAGATGGACTTTTCCTGCAGCGTCTGTGAGGAGGTGGTTAAAGGCAGAAGCTTTTCCTAGGACTGGCTGGCCGCGCTGCAGGTGCTCACAGCTGTCTCCCTGCCAGGCTGCGGGGCCAAGAGGCAGAGCAATGGGAGGTTCAGGCCCAGAGTGAAAGCCTCCCTTTACTGCTGACTCCCTTGCTTGTCAATCTGTGTCTCTAACAGGTGTTTACCAGATGCCTGCCAGGCCCCGGGCCAGCCCTGGGGGCCCTGTGCTATGTAGCTCCTCACACCTCAGTCTCTTGTATTCTTTCTTTTTGCTCCAAGGAACTGTTAAATCCTTTGGGTATTTGTCCCCAGCCTCTCTCTCCACTTGAATTTCTTCAGATTTAGAATCATCATCTGGAAAGGACCTGAATGTTATCTTATCTAGCCTCTTCTCTTTTGAGATGAGGAGGCCCAGAAGGGTTGACTGTTGGCTTGGGGTTACACAGTGAGTTGGTGGTAGAGCTGGGCAGGGCTTCCGTCCCCTGACTCGGGCTCAGTGTCCCTGCTGGCTCTTATTTTGGGGGTGGACAGGGCAGCTCCAGCTGCTGGGAGAGGGTGGGGCACTGGGGGCAGGGGTGAGTGTGTAGAATCTCTGTGAGCATCCGAGGTAAGGCCTGACCGGTGGGCTCCAGGGCACCCGGTGTGTACTTACATAGGTGCTCCGGGCCCCTGGGGGTGCAGGCGCTCCACCTGGCTGCCCACAGCTGCTGCCTAGGCCTAGACCCCTGCAGACCCTGGGAAGATGTATCTCAGTGTGGGGTTCCCCAGAAACAGGCCCTGGAACGAGGATCTTATTTAAAAGTAGTTGATTTGGGAGGTGAGGGTAGAAGAGTGGGGAAGGGAGACCAGGCAGGGAAGGCAGTCAGTGAAGAAGACCTCATTAAGCCAGCTCCCCCAGAGGGTGACAAAGTTTGGCCTGCCAGGGAAACTCTGGGCGCTAGAGTGTGCTCAGGGACAGTAGGCAGTCGGGGGTTTATCCACCCCCTTCCTGGGCATTGGCTGAAGTTTCCTCTTAGGAGGTGTTAATTACATGTCACTTGCAGCCTTCTTCCTAGTAAGAGGGAGGGCACATGGGCAGGGCACCCTGAGCGAGCTGCTCCCCAGCTGGAAACTCTGATGTGCCTCTTTGGGTTCGTTGGCACTCTTGGTGACAATAGAGACCCAAAAAGGATTTTCTCATTCTTTACCTGGAAAGTTAAAAGTAAGGCCTGCTTCCAGGCTCTGCTGGAGCTGGGGTTCTGCAGACCTGGGTTCTAGTCCCAGCTCCCCACTGATTTATGCCACAACTTTGAACCATGCACCCCTCATTTCCTGGGGCTTCTGCTCCTTGCAAAGGGAGAGGCAGCGCCTGCTCCCTTCAGTTGGATCAGAAGGAAACTCAAGTTAGCCTGGGGCCTCAAAACTACTTTGAAAAAAAATCCTTTCTTGCTTTCCATGTTCATCATTTCACACCTATTTATGCACATACTTTTCTTCTACCTTTCAAGTATTTCTTTTTTTATAAAAAAAATCATGTATAACTAATTTGGCTTTTCTCCCAGCCCTCACCCTCTGGTTAGAGGGAAAATTAACTTCCAATCCGGTTTAAAGCTTAGTCTAATCTGATGAATGAAAAAGCCTCTTTAGGTGATGTTCTCTCTCCCCAGAATAAAAATGCAGTTTCTCTGAGAGTCAGCCTCCCCTGCTTCCTGCTGAAGGGCAGCGTCTGGGCAGGCTGGGGCAGGAGCAGTGTAGGGCTTACGTTTGGAGTGGGAGATGGGGCAAGCGGCTGGTCCTGAGCCGCACAAGCTTGGCATCAGCTGCTGCCCTTGACAGCGGGAACCGTCATAGGAGAAGCCTTACATCCTGGCCACTTGTCTGGACCTCCTTATGTCCTGTGTTCCAGGGGAGGCACTGGAGTGTCGTTCTGAGAGCACAGTCTGCAGCCAGACCTCATGGGTTCACAGCCAAATGATCTTGAGCAAGCTCCTTAGCTTCTCTGACCTGTTTCCTTATCTGTACATGTGGGATAGGTAAGACTACCTAATCTGTAGAGCTGGTATGCGAGTTCCATACATTGGCATATAGAATACGCTTAGGAGAGTACCTAGCACAAGTTAAGTACTGAGTGTTCGCTGTGATGACAGTGATGGTGATGCTGTTTTTCTTCTTTCTCTCCACACTTCTAAGTTTTGTGGGATGGAAGCCCAGTGGGCGGTTGCTCTGTTAAACGCTAGACAAAGCCAGCAGGAGCTCAGCCCTGTGGCAGGAGGAGCCAGGGCTGGCCTCGAGAGTCCTCGTGTTCCGTCCCGAACCTCACAGCGAGACCAAAGGAAGCAGTATCTGCCGAGCATCTGCCCTGAGCCAGACCTGCTCTCTGCATTCTGCACACGCCCCTGCAGAGACCCTGCTCCTGCAGGTAGACCCATTCTCTCCCATTGTCCAGAAACCAAAGCTAGAGCAACTGAGCCACTTGCCCAAGGCCACAGCTAGTGAGCTGGAAAGGGCAGGACTCAGACTCAGGCCTCCCGGCTGGTGGACAGTCCCAGTCACCGAGCTCCCCTGCTTCCCGGTTCACCAACTGGGCCTGGCAGGGAGCCCCCGGGGCTTTCTAACCGCTTCTGGCATCCTCCCCCAGAGTTCCGATTCATGTCCGTGTGCTGGCCTCGCTCGCTGTCATGCTGGCCATCTTCGTGGTGATGACCGCGCTGGTGAAGGTGGACACCTCCTCCTGGACACGCAGCTTCTTTGCTGTCACCATCGCCTGCATGGCCATCCTCAGTGGCTCCTCCACCGTCTTCAATAGCAGCGTCTTCGGCATGACTGGCTCCTTTCCTATGAGGAACTCCCAGGCACTGATATCAGGTGAGAGCTGGGGCCAGACAGCCGACCAGGTTAGTCCCCCAGGTGACCCATGATGGAGCCAGAGGTGAGCATGTGACCACCCTTCCAGAAAAGGAGATGAGCAGTAGGTGTGTTTTCAGATATATTATTGTGTAACGAAGTGCCCCAGAACTTAGTGGCTTAGAAAAATAACAGTTGTTTCTTCTGCTCACACATCTGCGATTTGGGCCGCAGTTGGTAGGGACAGCGCTCCTCTGCTCTGTGAGGCATCGACTGATGCAGCTCGACTGGGGCTGGGGGACCGCTTCCGAGACGGCACGCTCGCCTGGCCTGCACGATGGTGCTGGCCGTTGGCTGGACATTCAGCCAGGGCTGGGGCTGGGGCCAGGGTTTCTCTCCACCTGGACCCCACCACGGCTGCCCGGGCTTCCCTGTGGCATGGTCTGGGTCACGAGAGTGAGGATCCCAAGAGACCCAGGCAGAGTGTTATTTCCTTTTATGATTTACCATGTAAGGTCACTTCCACCATAGCCATAAGCCCATCAGGACTTAAGAGAATGCAGACCCACATTGTCTCAGTGGGAGCTGAGCATGATGAACATTACACTGTCAGGAGCGGGTGGGAGGGAGGACAGAGTGCAGCCCACTTTGGAAAACATAGTCTGTCCACTTCCTGAAGCTGCATTCCTTTCTTTCTTTCCCTCCTCTCCCCCGTTCCTGCCCCATTCCCCTTTGCTTTATTTTTCTATTCTTACCTTCCCCCCTTCCTTTCTCCTTCCTTCCTCCCTTCTGTCTGTCTTTTCTTCCTTCTGATTTTATGGAAGACCTGCTATGTGCCGGGGATTCAATGACCAAGACTCAGCCTCTCAGGAGCTGCCAGCCTAGCGAATAAACTCCTGTGGCCCTGAACTTGGGCACTCTGCGGGGGTGCCAGTGCGTGACTTGGGCCAAGCCCTTTAGCTGAAATTTTGATGCTGATCCTAAACCTGTTGTTTAGCCCTTAACAGTTCCATTCTCTCACCGAGATGTTCTAACGAGATGAAAAGGACCTGGGTCAGTGAGAATCTGTGCGTTCTCAAGGGACCACCACCCCTTAAAGCACGACTGGGGCCTCAGCTGCTCCATTCGGCACCTCCACATGCCCCCGCTGGGTGAAGGGGTGCTGCGAGCACGTGCTCCCTTGAGAAGAATTTCACAGAGCGTCCACTGTGTGCCCATAAGGAATAATGCCAGGTAGCGTGTGGCCGACATGACAAACACCTTGACAGCTCTATGTCACCTCCCCACTCCCACGCCACTGCCAGACATCACTGATCAGTCTGTAGCTGTCCTCCTGAGCCTCTAAATCCTTCTCAACACAGCACTGGACACTGGACACAGTTACTGTCAACGCAGCAGACTTAGTTGTGGCCTCAAATCTAGTTGCCATTTTTGATACAGGATTAGGCTTCTGGCTCTATTCTGGGAAACCCTTGGGCCAAAAAAAAAAAAAAAAAGAAGAATGGACCGGCTGCTAAGTTTTTGGAGTGCAGTCCGTGTATCCCTAGCAGTGCCTCGAGAAGCACATGCCGAGGCTGAAGGCAGGGGCCACCACGTGCTGGCTTCAATCCCTCCTGTCACCCGTCTCAGAGAGAAGCTCTGGTCCCCTCATCTCCCTCCGTCCTGCTGGGAGATATGTTTTCCAGGGCAATGTCAGCCTTGTTCATTACCTGTCAAGGCCAGTGACCAAACACACCCTTTTATGTTGGCGAGGGGTCTTTCAAGTTCACTTGGCCACCTGCGAATCTTCTAGACAAAGGGGACACTCCCTGAACTGTTCAGAAAGTCCATTTTTGAAAGTGTTAAAATCCAGTACTCAGACTTCTATGTTAATTACCCTGGGCCCTGGGCCACCGTCATCACTGTGTGTAGCCCCACGGGGCACCTGTCACCCCGGAGAGTCCCAGGTGTCCACTCTCCCAGGGGCCCCAGAGCCACCTCCCCAGCCCATGTGTTTCGTCCAGAGGAGGGAGCCCATCTGTGAATTCCGCCTGTGTTGGCATCTGAGGAACAATTCATTCGTTTTGTGCTGGTGTTTTTTTAACCCCCTCATTTGCATGTATTTCCATAACTGATGAGATAAAAGTAGGGAGTCATGAAGGATGAGCTCCCCGAGGCCTGGTTTGTTGTTGATGATAATATTGTAAATTCTCTACAAGTTGGGAAGAGAGGGAGGAAAATCAATAGGCAGTGATGTTAGATCTCTTCCTCGGGCAGGCGGCAAACATCTTACTGAGTTTAACCCCAGTTCTTACAAAACGCCAAGGTGCGGATTACAGCTTCTCAGAAGTTGGCAGCCTCTTGGCAAAGGGTTTACCCTGTTGTTGCTGCTTTGATGTAGGAAGGACAGAAATAGCCAAACACCTCATTGAGAATCTGAGAGGATTTGTTTGCTCCTTCTCTGTGCCAGGTGCTCTTCTGAGCACTTCACATGTAGTAATCCTTTAATCCTTATAACAACCCTAAGAAGTGGGTCTTGTTAACATTCCCATTTTAAAGATGAGGAAATGGGCACACAGAGAGGTTAAGTGACTCGCCGAAGACCACACAGCCAGAAGTGGTGGAGCCAGGATCGGACTCAGATGTTCTGGTTCTTGAGTCTGTGCTCTCAATCACTATGCTGACTGGTATTTCTTTGCCTCCCTTCAAATCCCAGCCTGTGGCTCACAGAGCTCCTTTTGAGGAGGCTGGGATCGTCCACCAGTGCCGCGGGCTGCCCTCTGTGGAGCCGCGGAGGTGCCGGGCAGAGTGCGGGGAGGCAGCGACCATGGGGACGAGGGCCAGAGCTGCCTTGCGTCTCCTGCTTGGCGCAGCAGGGTGCCGGCTGAGCTGCCCAGTGAAATGGAGCAGTCTGCTGCTTGCTGTCTGTAGTCAGCGCTTCTTGCTTCCTTGAGAATCGAAATTCATTCATTCAGCCAGTGAATCCAACTTAGTCACCAGGCCCTGACTGTGCTGATGCTAATGGTTGTGTCTGTGTTCAGCACTTTTTCTATTCATTGTCCCACTTCCCCCTCACTACGGCCTCATGGACGACAGGATGAGCATTAGCACCTTCTCCCGGCAAATAAACAGAGGCAGGGAGAGATAAGTAACCAGTCAGCTGACCGCTGACTCTGGGCCAGCAGAAGTCCATCACCCACGGTTGGGAGGGTTCAGCAGAAAAGGAGGACACTTCCTTCTCCCCCAAACAGCTGCATGGCTGTGGCAAAGGGGGCAGCTGGCGTTTGTTGAAGGTCCACTCTGTGCCCGGCCCCTTTCCGGACGCCCTGTCACTCAGTCCGCAGAGCAGTCAGGTAAGGCAGATGCTCTTACCCCCATGTCAGAGGAGCAGGCTGTGGCTCCAGGATGTCACGTTAGCAGCCAGGGCACAGTGAGCAAGGGGCAGAGTCTAGGGGCAGACGTACATCAGTTTGGGTCCTGGGCCCCTGGGTCCACTAGGTTTTGCTGCGTCCTAAGCTAGGTAGCAGTGAAAGGTGGGGTGCCACGTGGCCACGTGGGTCCCAGGTCAAAGCCTGGCAAGAGAGAACATTCCGGTGATGCAGCAGTTGCATGTGAGTAAGTGTGAGCGTGTGTAAGAGTGTGACAGTGTATGTGAGTATATATGTGACTGGGAATGTGTGTTACTGTGTGTACGTGGGCATATGGATATGACAGTGTGTGTGTGAGTATATGTACATGTGATGAAGTGTGCAAGTGAGGGTATGTCCTTGTGTGTGATAGGATGTATGTGAACACGTGTGTGCGTGCACCCATGTGCTCACACATGTACGGTGCCGCAGTGGCTGCAGGGCATGAGGTGAGTTCCGTGAGTGCACGGGTGGGCAGCACAGAGGCCTGTGGCCGGCGAGGACGGCCCAGATCGGCTGGCCTGGCTTGGAGGCAGCTGCGGAGCCTGTGCTGAGACACGCCCTGTGCCTCTTCCCCAGTTTGGCGGGTGATGGTGTGAGCCGAAGAGGAGTTCTCCAAGATGTCCTGCCCCAAATATAAGATGTCTGACCTCACCAGCAGCAATAAGGAGAGATGGAGGGTCAAGGGTCAGAGGTGAAACCAGAAAACAGGCAAAACCTTAGAGGTCAATTGCCACCTCAGAGAGCAGCCTCTTACAAGCCCGTCAGAGAGACCCCGGGCCAGGGCGAGGGCCATGGGAGCTGACACCCTGTCAGTCAGAGCGCTCGGGGCTGCAGAAGCCCTCCCAGTCTGCCGAGGGTCCAGGACTCTCTGAGAACAGCAGCGCTCTTCTCACAAGGGAGAAGCTGTTTTTTGGTTCTGTTAACCTTGAGCAGAGAGGAGGCAGACCTGAGATGCAGGGAAGATGGACCCCCCACCCCCGCCACACCTTTCCTTCGTGTCCTGTGTCCTCTGCAGGAGGAGCCATGGGCGGCACCATCAGTGCCGTGGCCTCCCTGGTGGACCTGGCGCTGTCCAGTGACGTGACGGAGAGCACCCTGGCCTTCTTTCTGACTGCGGACGTCTTCCTGGGCCTCTGTATCGGGCTCTACCTGCTGCTGCCGCGGCTGGAGTATGCCAGGTGATGCCCTGCCCCTAGCTTGCAGCGCCTTCTTTTCTGTGGTTGTAGCTTTTTATCATTTACTGGCATTGTAATACCCCCGCTGGGGTGTGAGCTCCCTGCAGGCAGAAATTGTGTAGGTTTGCTCACTGCTGTGTCCTGGTGCCTCAAGCTGTGCTGGCCTCGTAGTAGTTGCTCAATTTATTGTCACTGTGTTTTTCCACTTTACAGATGAGGAAACTGAGGCTTCGGAGAGCTAACAGACATGCTCAGGTTGCTCACGTTGTGAGCTGCAGGCAGGCATTTGAACCCAGAGCTGTTTCTGGAGCTGCACTCTCTCCGCTGCGTCATGTTGTAGCTCTGGCTTGCGACTTCGAGGGTTTGTCCTCATCTCATCATCCACTCCTCCTGTCCCTGTGAGAGAGTCACCTTGCTAATCACCTGAACCCCAATTCTACAAGGGCAGTTTGAGGATTGTTATAACCCAGGCTGGCCTCAGTGGCCCCAGGAAGATAGAGGGGGCCGGAGCAACTTGACACTGTGACCCCCAGGGGGCTACAGACCCGTGAGCTTGCCCGTCCCCTCCTCTGCTCCTTCAAGGCCACCGTTGGAAATTGCCTAGTTGTGCTTCACAATGATGTCCCTGTGGATTCTAGGTTCTGGCTGGCTCACTGTCCCCACCAGCACCCCATACATTACCTGGCACTTTGTCACTGCTGATGAAATTATTTTGAGCCACTGACTGAACAGAAGGCAGGAGGTTCCTGCCACACCTTCCTCTGTTCCCCATCCTGTTTTCCAAGTGGTCTGCATGGGTCTGTTTGTGGTGGGGTAGTCAGCCTTGCCTGTCTGCCTGGAGCTGAAGGTGCTCTTGGGAGGAGGGGCTTTCAGTGCTAAAACCAGGACCGTCTCAGGCAAACTGGAACAGCTGGTCACCCTGGATTTCAGTCTCACTTGAACAGGCCAAAATCCTTCCCAGCTGAGCATGCAAGAGAGCGAACACCCAGAGTTGTGCTGTCCCATAGAAGCTTCTGTTTCTTTGCTGATTAGCACTTTGGTCAGGACTTTCGGTTTTATAGCAAGTCAGCTGAGGATGGAGCTTGAGAGGGAGCTGTGCTCCTGGGGCTACTCAGACTAAATCTTCCTTAAAAGGGATAGTTGGAGCCCTGGCTGGTGTAGCTCAGTGGATTGAGCGCAAGCTATAAACCAGAGGGTTGCCAGTTTGATTCCCAGTCAAGGCACATGCCTGAGTTGCAGGCCAGGTCCCCAGTAGGGGGCATGTGAGAGGCAACCACACATGGATGTTTCTCTCCCTCTCTTTCTCCTTCTATTCCCCTCTGTCTAAAAATAAAATAAATAAATAAAAGATAGTTGGAACATTGTCTCATACACCAAAAGGTTGAGGGTTCGATCCCCGGTTAGGTGTGTACAGCAGGCAACCAATCAATGCTTCTCTCTCACATTGATGTCTGTCTGTCTGTCTCTCCCACCCCCACCCCTCTAAAATCAATGACAGTGTCCTCAGTCCTCAGGTGAGGATTAAAAGGGAGCCCACGGGTGTTGTACCAGGAGGCCTGGGCTGCCCCACTACCCAGGGGGAATTGGGAACTGGGCCTTTTGCAGTGCCAGGAGCTGGTGGCGTTGGTTGGGTGAGACGAGACAGTTGGATTTGGAAGAACTTATGAGGAAGATCTTCAACCAGAGGAACTTGGATCTCCCTCAGAGCAGACTTAAGGCAAGGGCCTGCCACTGAGGAGAGGGAGAAGTAAGAATATTTCTTTCCCTAAGAGTGATTGTGAAACAGAGCAGGGTTCAAGTGCAAAGCGCCCTGCTCAGCATCACGTGGCAATGTGGTTCTGGGGAGGAATCCTCCCACCAACCCACTTGTTATCTATTGGACTGACAGGGTTCTCAAAAGCTCGTGGCTCCAGAACCCCTCATTTTACAGTGGAGGAAACTGAGGCTCCAAAAGAATACCTAGCGTGAGGTCATGCGGGGAGGTAAAGAGGGACTGAAGTCAGAACCCAGCCATCACCAAGCTGCTGGTCTCCCATGCCCATGCCAAGCCTTCTGTTTGCGGTATCTTAATACAGTTAGCCCATGTCTCCTGGTTTTCAGACATCTGAGGCCCAGAGAGGTTCAGTGACTCAGACAAGGTCATACAGCAAGGCAATGTGACCCATGCCTTTTCTTTGATCAGAGGGGCAGAAATTGAAAAGATTGATAATATTCAGTATGGAGGACACGGGGAAAAGACACTTTCATAGGCTTATTGGTTCTTTCAAAAATTACCTTTGGAAGGTTATTCTGTGCCTGAAGATTTAGCTGGAAAGAGCCAAATGTGGTCCTTGTCCTAGGGAACTGTCTTCTACTAAAAGAGACAGAAGATAAGCCAGCAAACGAACACAGCAATTATAAATTGTCATCAGCTTTTTAAAAGAAATAAATAATTGCTCTCATAGAGATTAAAAGGGTAGGGTGGGTGGGTTAAACAGAGTAGAGATATATTAGTCCTACCTGTTTGGAGAATAAGTCATCAATATCAATAAAAATTTTAAAGGTACCAACCTATTTTTTTAAGTCCTTACCCGAGGATGAGCCTACTGATTTTAGAGGGAGGGGAAGGGAGGTAGAAAGAGAGGGAGAGAGAGAAACATCTATCGGTTGCCTCTCATACCCACCCGGAGTGGGGACCAAACCCCCAATCCAGGCATGGTTCCTGACTGGGACTTGAACCCATGACCTTTTGGTTTACTAGATGACACTCCAAACAACTGAGCCACACCAGCCAGGGCTAAAGGTAGCTACTCTCTGATCCAGGCATCACTCTCCTAGAAATCTGCCTCCTGAAATACGACTATGTGCCTGCCAGGGTTTAAGTGTAGGGATGCTCACTGTGCCTTTATTTGCAGTAGAGACAAACCGGAGCTGATCCACATGTGCACCGGGAGGGAGCAGCTGGAGTGTGTGTTCCTTCAGTGAAATACTAGACAGCAGTGCAACAGAGACGTAGAGCCCCGTGTCCCGTGTGAGAGGGTGGCCACACAATGTTTGTTGGACAATTATATGTATCCATTTATGTATAATGGTTATGAATGTATTTGTGCAGTTATGTGAGTGTTTATATATTAGTTATATATTTAGGAGTTATACTGTTGCAGAAAGTTTTATGATATGTATGTTTCATGCTCCTTTTGCTTAAAAGCATAATGGTGGGGCAGGACAGGGTGTTTGCGCATGCGTGGAACAGTATACACCAGGTTTTTAATGGTCAGCACCTCTGTGGAGAGAGACCAGAGGGGAGAGTTCTCCTACTCCATCATTTCTCCTCAGTGTTATTTGGGTTCATTGCATCAAGCATGTATTACTTATACAATTTTTAAAAATTGTATTTTTAAATGCTATTTTATGCCCACCCCCTCTCCCCTAAAACAAAACAAAAAGCAAGTGAGCTGAGACTGGACTGCAGGCTCACCACAACGTCCTCAGTCAGAGCCGGTTTCCTCTGACCCTTCTCGGGGTGCGGCTACCACCACAGAACGGTGGGCTGGGTGGAGCCCGGCCTTTCGGCCAGTACCAGGACAGGCGGGCAAGGGACTGCGCCAGCTTCCCCCCGCCTCCCTGCAGCATGTATATCACCCGAGAGCCTCCTGGGGCTGTAGGCCATCGGGGCTTGGGCTTTCCATGCTGGGCCTAAAGGTCCCCCACCCCCCATCCCCAGAAATCCTCCTGGGGCACTCTGACCTCGCGCCTCTCTCCCCGCAGGTACTACATGAGGCCTGTGCGGCCACCCCACGTATTTTCTGGAGAAGAACCACCACTCCAGGACTCCCCCAGTAACCCCTTGGTGGCTCCCAGATCCAGCTCCTCCCCAACACCACCCCTCTGCCCCATCCTAAAGAGGACAGCAGGCCTGGGCTTCTGTGTCGCCTACCTCTTCTTCATTACCAGTGCCATCTTCCCTGCCATCTCCACCAACATCGAGTCCCTCGACAAGGACTCGGGCTCACCATGGACCACCAAGTTCTTCATCCCCATCACTGCCTTCCTCCTGTACAACTTTGCTGACCTGTGTGGCCGGCAGATCACAGCCTGGGTCCAGGTCCCAGGGCCCAGAAGTAAGGTGCTCCCTGCACTCGTGCTGCTCCGGACCGGCCTCGTCCCCCTCTTCATGTTCTGCAACTTCCAGCCCCGTGTCCACCTGCAGTCGGTGGTCTTCCCATCCGACATCTACCCGGTGCTATTCAGCTCCCTACTGGGGCTCAGCAATGGCTACCTCAGCACCCTGGCCCTCATCTACGGACCTAAGATTGTGTCCAGGGAGCTGGCCGAGGCCACAGGGGTGGTGATGTCCTTTTACATGTACGTGGGCTTGGCACTCGGCTCGGCCTGCTCTGCCCTGCTTGTGCATCTCATCTAGAAGGGGTCAGTGGCAAGAGAGTTGGCGCGAGCTCAGTGAGAGGGGCAGGACCTGCCGGGAGGGCTCAGGTGACGCGCAGAGAGGTCTGGAGTTGGCCTCAGTGCAGAGGGCCGAGCACACCCGGGCCTCGTCTCCCCAGGGAGCTGGGGACACATACTGTCTCGGTGCCAGGCAGAGACATTCCAGACACTTCAACAGAACACTCCTGAGACTTTTCTCCAAGAGACACCGGAATAAGACATAGTTACACAGGCACAAAGCGGGGTATCACTGTCCTAGCTGACGGTTGCTTCCCGCCTTTCTCTACAGCCTCCTGGGGGCTGTGTTGCCAGTGTTTGGCTCAGGTAAGTGCCAAACCCCAGCCCTGCTCCTTCCAGCCGACAGCAGGATGTGAGAGTCCTCAGCTCTCCCTAACAAGAGGGTCCCCCCAGAAAAGAAGTCCCCGTGGGATGGCCAGCCACCAGGGCCAGGACCCAAGCTTGTGCAGACCCTTCCTTCCAGGGGTGAGAGGGCACCCGCCAGCCAGACTGGAACACCAGCAGGACAGGTCTTCCGGGGAACCTTCCTTCCTGAAACCTGGGCTCCAGGAGGTCTCCTGGTCCCAGAGACCAAGTGTGTCAGGCCTGGGTTTTCAAATAGGGCTGTTTAAAGGGTCCGTGGCCTGGGTAGGAATGCGTCTTTTAACTTGATGTTTACAACATGGTCACTGGTCCAAGGGCATAGTAAGTTCCTGGGCATTTAACGAAGTGTCTGTGTTAGGGTCTTGGCAGGAAAGAGTATTCAGAGTGGGTATTGTGAGGATATTTGAAGAGTGAGTGTAGGGCTCCCGAGGAGCGGGTTCCTCCGACCTGCTGCGACCTGTAAGAGGTGAATTTCCTTCTCCCTCCCGTCTCCTTAAGTCTCCTCCAGTCCCTGTGTCCTGAGCCACCCCCAAGGAGCAGGCGCAGATGACGGAGAGTGGATGGAGGGGCAGAAGGTATTCAGCTCAGGGCCTCATCCAGGGTGGGGCCGCCAGCCCCTCCACTTTCATAGTTTATTTGTTATTGAGGTCAGTAGAGTTCTGAAGCTTTGGTTAACAGAATGTTGCTTCATCCTGAGTAATTGTCTCTTTTGAAGCTGTTGTTTCAAAAGGTGACCCTCGGCGTCTACAGTCACCTGCCCTGAGCAGTCATCTAGGTGGTTCTCAGGTCCCTAAAGGCTTCTTCGAGGCTGTTCCCGGGGGGAGCAGGCTGGCTTGGCAATCAGTGAGAAAAAGGAACTAGGTCAGACCTGGAGTTCTTCCTCAAGAGTTGTGCAGAAAGAAGAGCTTGTCCCCAAGAAGTGGCACCCCTAGAGCCATAAATGAACCCGCTCCTCTGAAGCGCGTCGGCTCTGTGATGCCCCGCAGACAGACGATTAAAGGGGGGGGCGGGGGGGGGGGGCGGCTGTCGGCCATCCACCCGGATGGCAGCTCACACTCCCCACTGCCTCAGGCTGGTGCACACTCCCCTTCTTGGGCCAGAGAACTAAAGAGGACACCCTTGAAAATTGATACCTAAAAAATATATTAAAAAGCATTTTAAAATAAGTCCTTCCCTCTCCCCTCCACCTGCAGGAGCCTGACACCTCCCCCTCAAAATTTTCACCAACTTGAGTGCTGTTGATCACTTGGGGCATTTGTCTGGCTAGTGACTTATTTCAACCTCAGGGGCTTTCCAAATGGACAGTGTGTCTGCATTAAAGTAAAGCAGCAGTCTCCGAGCTCAGAGACTTGGACCACGCTGCGGCCAACAGAGAAGGAACAGTAGGGGTCTCAAATGCCTTATTAAAGGGGGAGAGTTTCAGAAGTAGAGGAGATGTCTGCTGATGAAATGATTTGAAATTAGCGTGGAGGGAAGAGGGTGGCAAGCATGGAGATGCGGCACTGGGAGAGTTGAAGTTACTGGACCCCAAGCAGTGCCCCCTCCCCTGTGGGGGGGGGGGGTGCTGCTGTGAGCTGCAAGGGGCCAGCTGCTTGGCTGATGGGAGGGGTCACCAGGCGTCTGCCCACTGCTCTTCGTTACTCACCTTAGTGGGACTTCACGAAGGGCCCTTCCTCCCCTGGGAGCAAGGAAGGAAGATAAAAGTATGTCTCCAGGCAGAGCAGGAGGTGGAGCTCAGGCGCCCTGTCCTCCAGGCACTGTCACAGCCGCTCCTGGGGCTTGGCTGCTGTGGGTCTCCAGGCTCACGTGACCCAGACAGGCTCGTGGAACTAGCTCACATGTTCTGGGGAGTGAACAAAACTTGCTAAAGAGAAGAGGATTTTCCAGCGAGAGAAGTGGGCAGGCTGTGTGCGTGGGTGGTGCTGCGGGTTCCCTGTGAAGTGGCGTTTGTCCATTCTTGCATTCAATCCGAGTGGCAGTTTTTAGTGCATGCCCTTGCTTATTTCCAGACTGTACACATTTTCACTTTCCTCTTTTTATTCAACAAAGTAGAGGCAGCCAAGTTAGTTGTCTCTTCAACTAGTGAGTGACAGTACTTCTAAAGAAAATGCCAGTTCCTATGTGAATGGGCGTGTGATGGGACTTGAGCCAGGGGTGGGTGTTATTAGCAACGACCCTTCATTCTGCTAGCTTGGACCCAGTGCTCCCCAGGAAGATGCGGGGCATCCTAACCCATCGGCTTGGATGTGCTGTAGGAGGAGGTCCCTGCAGGGAAGCCTCTGGTCCCCAGGCTTCTGAGGCTACGTAATGCTTTTGTAGAGAACTCCAAGTAAAAGAGAGAGATTTTGTTGCAGTAGACATTAATCGAAGGCCCAGTGCTCATCCCAACTTTGTGGGCTCTCAGAGTGAAAAGACCTAGTATCCGTTTCTCCATCATCTCTTCCTTGGTGGCAGCACTGTCGGTGCCCGGTTTGCCCATGGCAGAGTCATTGCTGCCCCCCGCCCCCAGCTGACTGAGGTCGGTCTGGTTCCACGTCCAGCTTAGACCCCAGCAAGATCCCCGGAGAAATTTCAGCCCTACCAGCAGGTGGAGGCAGGGACTATAGTCACGTGGCCACAGACGCAGGGTCTAGGGCAGCCTGCCCAGTGCTACCCTATGACGAGTGCTTCACCTGCATGATTTCCCCTGCCTGTCGGTGAGTACAGCAGGGCCCAGAGAGGTTAAGTAACTTCCCCAAGGTCACTCAGCTCCTAAGTGGCACAGAACAGTCAAACCTGACCTTCCTAAACTAAGGCCCCACCCACCCTGCTCTCTCGCTCCCCTAGTTGAGCTCGGACTCTTCTTGGTTCTCGGCACCCGTTGTTCCTGTGCCCCGCTCCATGGCCTGCCTGGACTCTTGCCGAGAAAATGTCTTGCCCAAAACCCTGGCACTGGCTCTGGCCCGGTCTGATCAGTGCAGCTGGCTGGACCCCCTGCTGGACTGACCCCCATGGGTCCTGACCCAGGGCCCACATCAGGCCCACTCGCACCGCTCCTTGGGCACAGGGTCTCGGGCTGCTTCCGGGCCCCTCCCTCCTGGTCCCACACCAGCCCCTGCTGCTGAGGTCGCCCAGCATGGCCGCTGCCGCTGGACCTGTCTTAGGACACAGGGCTGTGAGACAGAACAGTCTGGGGGTACGGAAGCCTTGCTCCCAGACCCACCCGGCACCAGCTGTGTGAGTCACGTGGCCTTCCTGAGCACATTTCCTCATCTGTAAAGCGCATGACAAAAAGTCCTGACATTGTGACTGCTGTGCCACTGAGCCAGCTTGCCACACCCAGTCATGCCACTGCCCAGCCCATACAGGACAGCTGCCCCAGGGCTCACAGCCATTGTAGCAGGGCGACTCAGAGGCACAGGACACCCTCTGCTGCCACCCATGTGTCTGCACTTGGGAGGTGTGAAGGCAGCATCAGCCTGAGAGGAGGACTTCAACTTCAGGCTGCAGTGGACTTGACCCCAAAGAATAGCAATAAAGATGGGCACGATTTCTGCCCAACAAGGCTCCAGCCAGCTGACCCACCAGCTCTGTGCACTCCACAAGAAGTGCCCTTGACCAAAGTTAGGGAACTCCGGACTTACAACATGGGGCTGAGAAGTAGACAGCTGTAGGTTTCAGGTGCCCAGACCAAGGTTGGAATTCTGGTTCTGCCACCTCCTGGCTGGGTCACTTTGGCCAGTCTTGCTGACACTCTCATTTCTAATGACTGTCCTCTCAGGCCTGTTGTAAAGATTGAATGAACCCTGACATTGTATATACAAGTACCTGGCATGTAGCAGACCCTTAATGAACATGTTCTCCCACCTGGGCAGTCCAGCAGTGCCCAGCCCCTTCCCTATGGCAGGCTGTAGCCTGCACCCAGCACTTAGTACCCACCTCTTTCCTGCCCCCAGCCCAGTTCCTGCCTGGGCCAGCACCTCCAGTTCTGATGCCTGCTCTTTGATGCCCGGGCCCCTGCCTGGGTCCTGCCCAGACACGCCTGACCTAGGGCAGAGTGCGTGGGGCAGAAAGCTGGAAATCCAAGACCCCACACCAAGCTCCGTCCCTAACTTTGACCTCTGGGCAAGCCACTTTTTCCTAAGCCTCAGCTGGAAAAAATGGACACCCCAATACCCATGCTGCCTTTATCATGAGCATGTGGCCAGGCTCACAGATCCCCCTGTGTCCCCTAGTGGTTCCTAGAGTCTGCTCTCTGGAACCACACAGCCTGGGTTTGAACTCTCACCACTTCTAGCCGCATGGCCACGGGCAAGTTCAACCTGACACTGGTTCCTCTTCTAACAATGGGGCAGTCGTAGCACCGGTCTCGGATCTGGTTGTGTACACTAAATGATACAGTGGGGATGCATAGAACACAGAATTGAGCCTGGTGTGTGCTCCACGCCAGCTCCTAGAAGGCTGTAAGTTCAGGCCCCACTTGGAGAACCACTGTGCTAGACCACCAAGGGCCGACTGGGGCTTGTCAGGGGCTCGCATCTGGCCCAGGGCGAGAAACTAGTGCTCCAAAATCTTCAAAGTACAGGGTCCGGAACAAGTAATACCCCTTTTTTTATTACAAAATTATAAGCATGCAATTCTATAACATAACAATATCACACTCAAGGACAGTACATGACATTTTAGGTGAAATGTTCAAATTAAAACTATCATAAATTATTACACCCATATTATTACCCTACCAACCACACTTCGGCAGCCCTACTTCTGCCAGACCCTGTAGTTATCGCACTGTGGGCACTAAATCCCTGTTCTCAAAAATGTTCACAGGTTCAGGATAGAGTCTTTACACTTTAAGCACCAAGCTCACCCTCTCCACCAGCCCCCAAGGTAGGCACCCAGTGGCTTACTCGTCAATTACATCTTTACCATCTGCTCCTTTCACCATAAATATTCAGGAGGGAGGTGAGAAGGGCGGAGGGGACCAGGAAAGAAAGGGTAAGGCCTAAGGGCATGTTGGCCCCAGCCCACAGCTTGGAGCTCAGGAGGTGGAAGTTGCAGTCTCCCTCCCTCCCAGGCATTCCTATCATTGGGGCACAGCAGGGTGGGGGTGCCAGGTCGCCTTCTGCCAGGGGCTGGGGCACACCGTCTACCTGTTCTCTGGAGCTCATTGGCTGCTGAGGTGGCGGTCACTGGTTTTCATTTTGCTGAGATTCAAAAAGGGAAATGAGCCATTACCAAGCTACAACCCTTTTTGAAACAAAAACTGAAATTGCATTTTCTAATCACGTTCTGGGAGCAAAGAATGCAGGAGTCTGGCCTTGCTGTGTCAAAGTCATCTTCTAGAGGGTGTCAGTGCCTTGCCTGCTGCACACAAAGCTGTGTGGAAAGGGGCGGGAGGAGTCAAATGAAGAACAAAATGTGCCACACCTGTTAGTGCCACTCCAGCTGTTATTCAGTGGCTAGCCCACGGTCTCTTGTGAGGGTGTCAGGAAATTTCCCTTTCCTTGTTTTTTTTTGCTGCTCAAAACCCACAGGCTCTACCCTGTTGGGTAAGGACTAGTCACCTTGATTCTTGAAATAGGGGTGAGCTAGAGTACAGGGCTTACAATTGGGGGACTTTGGGCAAATCGCTAACCTCTCTGAGCCTCAGTGTCCTCACCTGGGAACTGCAAAAGGCACACAAGGTATTAGCTCTTGTTATTAAACTACCCATAGATCCACTGGTACCTCGTCCCATGGGGCAAGGAGTCTACAGGACCAAGGAGGTGTGCCAGCCTGGAGCTCATACCTCTTCCCCTTTCTGGACCATGCTCTGGGTACTTGGGACTCCTGAATCTCTTGCCTAAATGGGCTCACACCTGCAACCCGGGGCCTGGGCAGCCTCTTTCCTAGGTCCATCCCCCAAGGGCACTTCCAGGTTCATATTTGCAAGTCATGCGGAGTTGGGACATACGCATTGGACTACCCACATGTGTGCAGAGGAGCTCTTGCCAGATGTGGGACTGAGCCATGATGTTCCAGAGAAGAACTCTTAAGTCAGAAGATTCCAGATTCAAACCTGACCTGTCAGGTTGTTAGAAAGGCATATGAAGAAAAAAGAACATACTTATTTTATAGCATATATGGAAACGTGGTATATGTGCCTCCATTTATACTCTTATCCTGGGCCTGCAAACGCTCCTTT